GGCGTACGCGGGATGTCTTCTCCGAATAATCACAAATGATGGACCGTTTGAAGGAATTCTACACTCTCTTGACGGGAATAACAAGAAGATGACCCTGAAGAACGGTACGGTATACCAAATAATGGACGAACATCGTGATTTCAGCGTAACAACTTGATGACAACTTTTTTTTAACCTACACGACGATGAGGGCGCTATAAATACATTGAATATAAGTTGAACAATGTCGTAAAATAGTTTATTTTCGACGATATAATATTTTATGTACTTATTTTTTTTTGTGTGTTTTGTGTGGTGTATCACTAGAGGTTAGTTATGAGCTAAATAGACTAAATGTCGTCCATGTGATTTTGAAAAATATGTACTCATTAGTAGACTAGTAAATGCAAAATTAGCCCTGCGTACAGTGCTGTGTGTACGGGGACGCGTTCGGTTGATAGATGTCCCCACCACAGCACTGCAAACTTCCATAGACAAAGTTTGGGACTTTGAAAAATATAACTTTTTCAATGAAATAACATGCCCAGGTACCAAAAATGATGATCGATTACCAGATATATCCAGAACTCCCAGTTCGGAGTCCAATTGTGGATGAAATCCGCTACTTTGCCCTAAAAACAAATGCATTCTCTCGCGTGAACGAAATTAAAAATGGCGGCGTTTGGTGGATAATTCCTCCGGTACCTGCGCATTTACAATTTGTTCGTCTTCACTAGTTTTTATTTGAAGACATTTCAGTTTCAGATAACTTTGTAATGGTTGTTACGGATAACTATCGTCATTTCAGCCGATTTCGGCTGGGAAACTACTTATTTTTAACTTGCGCACCAATTACGGTGCGCTCCCGGACTTTGTCTATGGAGGTACGCAGGTGCACACAGCACTGTACGCAGGGTTAATGCAATGCTCTTGACAGGACATTACATGTAGTCAATGTCTACACGCATATGCACATTGTTCATACTGAAGTTATGAATATTGTAAATAAGTGATAACACAGAATTCTGTGCTGAGAACATAATTACACATAGCGAATTCACATTGCCATTCTTGGGCGTTTTCTGAATGACTGGATTCTAGTTGTGAACATGTCTGTGATATCAATTCACCAAGTCATTTTTCAGGGCTGGATTCCCAACATATTGTGAGCATATCTGATATTCAAAGCATTTATATTAAAATTGAGTGAACTTTTTTTTTCTACAAGTTCTCTGCCTCATTGTTTTCTTTAAAATATTCAACAAAGTGAGCTAGAGAATGTAGGGGATGAAATGTAATTCTGTCTTTTATTTGAACCCTGGTTACACTGGTAATTTTCCATTAGTTTATCCCCCCTGGGTCTAAGTCACTTTTCTAGTAAATCTTGTGAAGGAAATTATCATTTAATAATGTGTACTTACAAATTCTTGTAGTTACCAGTCTTGAAAGTGGAAAAAAGTTGCATGGGCTTCTACACTTCTATGGAAATGAAGTCATACGATGTAAGTGATAATTTATCCATGAGTCATTTGTTGTGTCTCTTCAAAATTGCAATTGCCACTTTGTATTATATACAGGACACCTCCCACTAATTATTGTGATCACCTTGACAACATTTGTTGATATGGCAACAAATCTTGGAGCACTGATGCTAGTCTGTACCCAAAATTGTGGTGTATAATCACCAAATCAAACTTAATTTTCATTGTTGTAATCACTCAAGACTACTTTTCTTAAGAATTATTTCTAAATTTGATTTTGATTCTGTCAGATGAGATTTCTCATCATTTATACAAAATCCAAAGCTCTTATAATGTTTACAGGGGTCAGGGGTCAGTGAAGGTTATAATGCAGATCATACAAAGTGAGAATGCAACTTAAATCATCAGTAGTGGCTGTATCTAATGATTACAAACTGTTAAAACATGAATTTGTATCAAATTGTCAGCCTGATTT